ATTTGAGGAAGGAAGAAGGGAAGCATTTTGGATCCATGAATTAAAGACACTTGAGCCACATGGACTTAAAGAAACACAGGATTTAAGTCCTTTTCTGTGACATAATACTAACTTATACCTCCCTCCACAGGTTATTTGGATCCACAGGGAGAGATGAGCTACTTAGACGGACAGGGGGAGCGACAGGGAGGTGACAAGGGCCCAAGTGTGCTGTGGTTTATGTTGATGATCCTTTTTATAAATGTATTTAAACTACTGCAGACACGATTATTTGTGATTATAACTATGTTTTACTGTGTTATGGAGCATCCATTAACTGTTTTAAGACCAGTGATGAATGCTAGACGTTAACAAAGACGTTCATGAACACTTAATAATTTGTTGTTATATCTGTTTATAACAAGATAAACAAGGGACTGTGTGAAATTTAAAATAAGCAAGGCCTTCCACAGCGTTATCTATATTTTCTTTGGACCCTCAACCTGAAAAACTGCATTACCCTACACCCCTACACCCATATTAGTGTAGTCAAAAACATTACATCTTTACATATCAATTCAGAATATTTAAGACTGTTTAAATACTCATTTTCAGCTGTATCGATACTCCACTACCAGCTGTGCTTTAATTACACTTTTATTGTTGTTTACTTCAGTCATTCTGCTGTTCTCTGCTACTAACCAAGAAAAGGAAAGTCATTGTTGTCATGTCATAGCCTTTTTAGATTTATCTTTGAATAAGAAACTCAACTTGCGTGCCCTTGATGTCAGTTTTCCACGTGGTAACAAATATGTATCGGAGATTTATATTTTTTAAAGGTATTGTATTGCTGTTAGGAATTCCTACATTGTGACAACACTCACAGGTGTAGATTTTGGGGGACACAGGGGACACATCCCACTTAATATTTACTACATCCACTTGTGCACGCCACTCCACCAAAAATTATTATTATTTTTTTTTTTTTTTTTTTTACAAAATTAAAGAGCTTCACACCCTAATTGACTCAGGAAAAACACAGATTGGTTCACTGGGCAAGACACTCTGCACACACTATATCCTGTTAAAACTATACTCACAACTCTGATTAATTTTCATGACTCTATTGATCTGAAGGAATATGAATGACTTACAGGAATGGACACATACTTTGAGGAAGCCAACAATCTTCTTTTATACATCCGGAAAAAATTTTAAAAAAACAAAAAAAAACGACCTGCATAACCTCCTCACCAGCCAGTATTACACCTGCACATTAACACCTCATCCACTTCAAATGTTCCTCCTGTCAACTTTCAGGTGCAGTCATCAAAAATAAATAACTTTTTATATAGGCCCAGTTGAATATTGTGATAATAATGTGAGGTTATATCAGAAACCCACAGCACACCATCTGAGAACCACTGGTGTAGGCCGTATTGGTTTTTACACAGATACACATGTTAATACCAAGTGTATGAGGCTGTAACTTACATGATGAGGAGTCAGACATATAGAACTGGCTTCATTTTAAGGTGTCACAAACAAACAAAAGAAATGTTTAGAAACCACTAAATTATCCAACCAACAAGCAACACACCTTATAGAAGACAACTCTGCATGTCCAGATCAGTTGCATAACTACAATCATAACCTCCTCATCAGCCAATATTACACCTGTACATTAACACCTCATCCACTTCAAATGTTCCTCATATGAGGACACAGGGTCTCAGGAGGATATAAGGGGTCAGACATATAGAATTGGCTTCATTTTAAGGTGTCACAAACCAATAAATAATATTTATAAACCACTAAATTATCCAACCAATCAGCAACACATAATACACCTTATAGAAAACAACTCTTTACAATGTAATGTACTCATCAGCAAATATTACACCTGTAAATTAACATCTCATCCAACTTATATGATAAGGTGCCAGAAATATAAAACTGGCTTCATTTTAAGGTGTCACAAACCAATAAATAATATTTATAAACCACTAAATTATCCAACCAATCAACATCACTTGATACACCTTATAGAAACCAACTCTACAATAACCATAACCTCCTCACCAGCCAGTATTACACCTGCACATTAACACCTCATCCACTTCAAATGTTCCTCCTGTCAACTTTCAGGTGGAGCCATCAAAAATAAATAACTTTTTATACAGGCCCAGTTGAATATGGTGATAATAATGTGTAGTTATCACAGAAACCCACAGCACACCATCTGAGAACCACTGGTGTAGGCCGTATTAGTTTTTACACAGATACACATGTTAATACCAAGTGTATGAGGCTGTAACTTACATGATGAGGGGTCAGAAATATAGAACTGGCTTCATTTTAAGGTGTCACAACCTGAAAAAAATGTTTATAAACCACTAAATTATCCAACCAATCAGCATCACACAATACACCTCATAGAAAACAATGTAATGTACTCACCAGACAATATTACACGTGTATATTAACACCTCATCCAACTTATATGATGAGGGATCAGAAATATAGTACTGGCTTCATTTTAAGGTGTCACAAACAAACAAAAAAAATGTTTATAAACCACCAAATTATCCAACCAATAAGCAACACACCTTACAGAAGACAACTCTGCATGTCCAGATCAGATGCATAACTACAATCATAACCTCCTCACCAGCCAGTATTACACCTGCACATTAACACCTCATCCACTTCAAATGTTCCTCCTGTCAACTTTCAGGTGCAGTCATCAAAAATAAATAACTTTTTATATAGGCCCAGTTGAATATTGTGATAATAATGTGAGGTTATATCAGAAACCCACAGCACACCATCTGAGAACCACTGGTGTAGGCCGTATTGGTTTTTACACAGATACACATGTTAATACCAAGTGTATGAGGCTGTAACTTACATGATGAGGAGTCAGACATATAGAACTGGCTTCATTTTAAGGTGTCACAAACAAACAAAAGAAATGTTTAGAAACCACTAAATTATCCAACCAACAAGCAACACACCTTATAGAAGACAACTCTGCATGTCCAGATCAGTTGCATAACTACAATCATAACCTCCTCATCAGCCAATATTACACCTGTACATTAACACCTCATCCACTTCAAATGTTCCTCATATGAGGACACAGGGTCTCAGGAGGATATAAGGGGTCAGACATATAGAATTGGCTTCATTTTAAGGTGTCACAAACCAATAAATAATATTTATAAACCACTAAATTATCCAACCAATCAGCAACACATAATACACCTTATAGAAAACAACTCTTTACAATGTAATGTACTCATCAGCAAATATTACACCTGTAAATTAACATCTCATCCAACTTATATGATAATGTGCCAGAAATATAAAACTGGCTTCATTTTAAGGTGTCACAAACCAATAAATAATATTTATAAACCACTAAATTATCCAACCAATCAGCAACACATAATACACCTTATAGAAAACAACTCTTTACAATGTAATGTACTCATCAGCAAATATTACACCTGTAAATTAACATCTCATCCAACTTATATGATAAGGTGCCAGAAATATAAAACTGGCTTCATTTTAAGGTGTCACAAACCAATAAATAATATTTATAAACCACTAAATTATCCAACCAATCAGCAACACATAATACACCTTATAGAAAACAACTCTTTACAATGTAATGTACTCATCAGCAAATATTACACCTGTAAATTAACATCTCATCCAACTTATATGATAAGGTGCCAGAAATATAAAACTGGCTTCATTTTAAGGTGTCACAAACCAATAAATAATATTTATAAACCACTAAATTATCCAACCAATCAACATCACTTGATACACCTTATAGAAACCAACTCTACAATAACCATAACCTCCTCATCAGCCAGTATTACACCTGTACATTAACACCTCATCCACTTCAAATGTTCCTCCTTTCAAAAATGTGAGGTCCTCACATGGGGACACAAGGTCTCAGGAGGATACAAGGGGTCACAACCCAAAATGAACATGTTTACAAACCACTTAATTATCCAACCAATCAGCAACACGCAATACACCTTATAGACAACAACACATCATAATGTAATGTACTCACCAGCCAATATTACACCTGTACATTAACACCTCATCCAACTGATATGATGAGGGGTCAGAAATATAGAACTGGCTTCATTTTAAGGTGTCACAAACAAACAAAAGAAATGTGTATAAACCACTAAATTATCCAACCAATCAGCAACACACAACACACCTTACAGAAAACAACTCATCAGCCAGTATTACACCTGTACATTAACACCTCATCCACTTCAAATGTTCCTCCTTTCAACTTTCAGGTGGAGCCATCAAAAATAATAACCTGCCAAGGTGACCAGTGGGACCAGATACAGGCTCTTATTTTATATTCCCCGTGTCACAGCTCCAACACGAGGCATGTGGAGCTTTATCAAGACACAAGAATCTCCAACATGAGGTCACTGTGTTTGTTTCCTTCAGACTTGCACCGCAGCCTTGAGCTCCAACACCATCCGCTGATGTCGAGGAAGCTCCGCATGCACGCAGACCATAATGCACACACGGGGTAAATATATATACACGTATATATACATACAGTGGCCGAGCGATACAGTAGGATGGGATACAGTACAGCTTGACGTAGCTGCCCATCTGAAGTAGCCAGGCTCTAAATATGGGCTGGAGAGGGGAGGAGGAGGGGGGGCTACCCGAATACACACACACACACACACACACCAAACACACCGAGCAAAATAAAGGGCAGTCACCCCTCCTGATCACATTTTCTAACCGGATTCCGTGTTTCCGACACGGTGGCTGTAGTGATCCCGGTCCTGGTGGAGCCCCGGAGGATCTGGCACGTAGCAGCAGCCCCGTGTATCGCTTCTGGTGCACGAAGCGAAAAATGGGTTCTGCGCTCCTCTCTGGACGGCTGGGCAGTCGGAGCAACTTCAAACATTCAGGGCGATATACCAACACGAAATATGCAGCTGGGAACTTACGGCTCGCCGACACGCTTCCCCCTGCCAGCCGGGAACCGTCGAACAAATCCGCTCGGTGGAGGTGGAGGGGGAGGAAGCCGCCGGACTGGTGCGATGGCAGAGCTCCGTAACTGGGAGAGCTGGGGAGGAGTGGAGAGAGGACGGTCGGTGGCGCTGCCTGCGAGATGTGTGTGTGTTTGTGTGTGTGTGTGTGTGTGTGTGTGTGTGTGTGTGTGTGTGTTGCTCTTCCTGGTTGGGCTTCCACCGATTTGCAGAAAACTTAATCTTGAACCAATTGCCACACGGACCAGCCTCGCTTGACACCCCCGTCCTCCAATGACGGACAAACAGCTGTTTATCATGAAGGGGGGAAAGGAAACTAAAATATGTGCGCTGTATATGCGAGGTATAAGTTGCTTCCACTACATTACAACGCGGCGCTACATCAACGGGCGATGGATGTTGCTGCCCCCCCCCCACTACGACGACAGACAGCCTCACCCTGTCATTTGTCGTGACCAAACCACGACCAGTCAACCACCAGACTGTTAAAGCACGTCGAGAGAAATTCATGTGAAGGAGGAAGGCGTTTAAAACCATATCAACAGTGTCCCATGTGGTGCGTGGGAGATATGGTTTTTAAATGCTTCCCATTTAACAAAGTTCTGATGAGTTATGGATGTAAAGGGAGACAAACACTCACTTTACAGCTGCTCTTGGACTGTTAATGGGCTTTAAAGAGTTAACAAAATAACTTTTCTAAAAATATATGTATATATGTATATTTATGACACCACAGATACATTGGTATGTTTCTTAAGTATCATATCATCATGTGAGATGGAGGGGATGATGGACAGCATATCACATAGGCGAGACACCTGCCAAGCTGCTGTTTGCAGACCACTGTTTGAGACCACAATAAAACTTTTTTTAAGCGACCTGTCACTGTGTTTCCAGCAGCTGTTCAGCCACTAAATGTGGGTGTTATTTTAGCACTCTGTCACTGGGTTTCCACTGGGGATAGTGCCACAAAAAGCAGTTGTTTTTTACTGAGACGTTGCTGACGTTACTGTTCTTCAAGCAGCTATTTAGCCCCTAAACATGGGTGTTTTGTAGCAACAGGTCACTGTATTTCCAGCTGCTTTTTTTAGCTACTAAATGTATGTGTTTTGTAGCAACACGTTACTGTTCCTCCAGCTGCTTTTTAGCCACTAAATTTTGGTGTTTTGTAGCAACACGTCACTGTATTTCCAGCTGCTTTTTTTAGCTACTAAATGTAGGTATTTTGTAGCAACACATTACTGTATTTCCAGCAGCTTTTTAGTCCCTAAACATGGGTGTTTTGTAGCAACACGTCACTGTATTTCCAGCAGCTTTTTTAGCTACTAAATGTGGGTGCTTTGAAGCAACATGTCACTGTATTTCCAGCAGCTTTTTTTTAGCCACTACATTTTGGTGTTTTGTAGCGACATGTCACTGTATTTCCAGCAGTTTTTTATCTACTAAACGTGGGTGCTTTTTGAGCACCCTGTCACTGGGTTTCCACTGGGGAAAGTGCCAAAAGCAGTTGTTTTTTACTGGAGACGTTGCTGATGTTACTGGATTTTTAGAAGCTTTTCAGCCACTAAATGTAGGTGTAATTAGCAAAATGTCACTGTATTTCCAGCAGCTCTTTAGCCACCCAACGGTGGTGTTTTTAGCCACTTGTCACTGTATTTTCAGCAGCTTTTTAGCTACTAACTGTTTTTAGAGTACTCTGTCACTGGGTTTCCACTGCGGATAGTGCCACAAAAAGTGGTTGTTTTTTACCGAGACATTGCTGATGTTACTGTATTTCCAGCAGCTTTTTGGCCACTAAATGTAGATGTTTTTTTAGTGACCCATCACTGTATTCTTAGAAGTTTTTTAGCCACCCAATGTGAGTATTTTGTAGCAACACGTCACTGTATTTCCAGCAGCTTTTTAGCCACTACACGTGGGTGTTTTTTAGTGACCCATCACTGGGTTTCTACTGGGAATAGCACCGAGGCACTGCTACGGAAGCTGCAGTCATCTGCAGACCATTGTTCAAGACCAACAAACAATAAAAGTGGGTGTTTTGTAGTGACCCGTCATTCTGTTTCTAACAACTTTTAGCCACTAGACGTGGGTGTTTCTCAGTGACCCATCACTGTATTTACATGAAGAAACGCAACGTTTAAGGTATCTACAACATAATATTGTACAAATGTAACATATTGATGGTTTGCAGAAACATACATGACTGCAAAATTTTAGTGGATATGTTAAAATATTGTCATTTTAATTCTAAACTGTATGCTGTGACAACTCTGTGACTAATGTGTGGTAAGGTTCAGGCACAAAAACCACTTTGTTAGGGTCAGGAAAACATGCTTTGACTTAAAATACCCAGTTTGATCGCTACAAATTAAAAAATACCCGGTCCTGTCACCACAAACGCAGCTGGAAATGTCCTGAAATCTCATTATAAAGACCTGGTTGTTGCCACAAACACAGCTTGAAATGTGCTGACCTATAGTTCAAAATACCTGGTTTGTCACCACAAACACAGCTGGATATGTCCCAACATATGTTCCAATTTAGTTGCCATAAACAAGACTGGAAATGTCTCAACATCTGGTTAAAAATACACAGCTGGAAATGTGCTGACCTGTGAAAAAAAAAAAAATCGTGGTTTGTCACCACAAACACATGATACTCAATTTTGCCCATTAACACAGCTGGAAATGCCCCAATGTCTCGTTAAAAATAACCAGTTTCGTTGCTTGGCAGCTGTCTCACCTATGTGTCACACCATCCACCATCCCCTCCTCCTCCGGCTGAGAAACTCCGCTCATATACATGTAATGAGAGCTACTGTACATCACTTTAAAACATGTTGACATGATACCCATGAAATGTACAAATGTACATATTTATGGTTTGCAGAAGAAGCAAGAATGCGATTGGGCTAGTCCCATTAACAGCCTAACAGTCCTGTGAATTTCAAGATAACTCCATTGTGCATTGTTTGGATATGTTGTCTGACTATAACACACACAGTGACTGACTGTGGCAGAGGAAGTATTTAAACTCTTTACATACATAAAAGTAGTAATACCACACTATAAAATACTAAATAATAATAAATGCATTCAAGAATTATCAGCAAAATGTAGCCCTTAAAAAATAAATAAATCATTATTGTAGCTGATGGAAGTTGAACTAATTCTAACTCTAACTGTATCTACTGGATTTTTCATCCATAGCAATCATATTTTATACATTCAAGGACTGCAACAAGGATTTTAGAAATATGGAGATCATGCCCCCATCACCAGCTCTTAAGTCACTTATTCAGCTTACTGTTCATTCATATTTTTTAATATTAATTTCAAAGCTAAAATGATGTTTCACAGCATTGAAATTCTAGTGGTAACACTCTGAATTATTTTTTATCTATTTAGTCATATTAATACACGTTTAGTTAAATCTACCTAGTAAATGCCCACATTGTGTACATGTTACGCTGTAGAATGTAAACTCCACCCACCTACAAGCCTCCCAGAGTGAAATACCAAGGACATGACCTCAGTGTCCTCAATTACAGCTACGGCCCTCCATATAATTTGCATGTGTCGTAATCTACAACACAGCCATAGCTGTCAAATAAATATAGTTAAGCAATACCAAAAGTACAATATTTCACTCTTAAGTGGTGGTATAGGGAGGCAGAGAATGGAAATACTCAATATGGAGATTAGTACATCAGTAAAGTACTTAGTTACATTCCACGACTTCATACTGAGCATGGGGATTGATGTAATCCACTGTATATATATATATTATATACTGCCTGCAGAAGATAAAGGCTGAGGGAATCTCTGTGCATCAGCCTCTCAGAGCTCAGACTGACTTTCTCAACAGGCAGGAGGTCAGATCTGCAGTGATGAGGGTCTGAAGCACACCGTTATACAGCTAGTTTATAAAGGTGAAGCAACAAAAAGCATGTTTTTATTTGTGTAAGAAGAGGCAGGATGCGGCCGTGTAGTGATTCAGACTGCCTGCACTATAGGTGTCTCCAACCTGGTCACCAGAAGAAAATGTTGGCATTGTACCTTTCTGAAAATCACGGATATGTGACACTGGTACGTTTCATATGCATCATATCAGTGTTTCCAAAGTGATGTTGTCGTGATCACATGCAAGCTGATTTTGTCACGAGGAAGTGGAGGGGATGGTGGATGGCATGACACTGCACCTTCAGTCGTGGTTGTGCCACCAAAGCAGCCAAAACATGATCTTTTCCTAAACATAACCAAGGACTTTTGTGCCTAAACCTTACATGAACCACAGCGTTTCTGAAATGTAAAGTTCCAGTGTATCCACTCCATATTAACATGGTTTGCAGAAATGTACGATGCCAAAATTTTTCTGTAGGTCCCCCTGAGAGTCTGAGGCCCCTGGCCAGGGACCAGCTATGTCCAGTTGGCAGTCTAGTATTGCTCTGGGGTCTCATTTATAAACATTGCATACGCACAAAACGAGGCCTGAAAGAGGCGCACGATACTCTATAAAAATCATCTTGATGGAAGAAACTTTGACCTGTGCATGCAAAGATTTTGGACACAGGAAATTGGTGACGCAGATGGTGAGGTGGAAACCTGATTGTAGAAACTGTAGACTATTTTTTGGTGCAATATGAAAATAAAAACAACAACTAAAAAAAATCATAATGATCATTTAAGGAAAAAAAGCCCTACTCTTCGTCACAATGCCCATTTTAGGTCACAGAAGCAAGATTTTAAGTGAGAGGTGAATCCCTTATCAAAATACGGAAGACTGTCTATAAGAGTGTATCTTATTCTTTCTAGCTAAAGTGTGTTTGTAAGGTCACTGAGCCACATCTTTGCTGTGTGGACTTCTTTCTTTTTCCAGTGCATAGGGAGCAGTTTCTTTCCAATCATGAAACAATAGGATAGGAAACATTGCCAAGTGTTGCTTAACTTTCTGACATCATTAAACATTCCTAGAATAATATTAAGTGGTTCTGCTTCTAGTTGAATTTGAAGTATTCTAGATATTAGTTTGAAAGGGTGTTTTCTGTGCAACCTATCTTCAACATATGTAATCCTAAAATCTAGAATTACTGCCTTGCGGTTGTTTGCCTCTGCTAACCAGCCAAGTTGCATTTACAGTTTAAATCTATGTCTGTGAAAACATGGATGCTTCACCCATATGTTTTCCCCCTGCAGCACATAGGACCTATATAATCAGCACAGTTTCAGCATGGAATGAAATGTCTCCCGTTCTGTTCCT